GGGCTTGTCTGGCCCAAGCCGGCAGGCACAGGCGGGGGTGGTGGGATGGGGGTGGTGGGTTGTTCTGGTCTGGGGTCGGGAGCGGGCAGGAGCTCACTCACCTAGTTCCAGGTCAGTCTGCGGCGGTGACTCAAGATGCTTTATTAACCATAAGTAATGAATGATATAGAACATTTTTAAAAAGAAAAGAAAAACAGCATAACCGATGACTACATATTTGCTTTTCCTTAGGTCTTCCATGTCCAGGCAGGCAGCAGCACTGGGTTCCTCCATTGGCTCAGCAGTTGTTGGAGGTTTGGCTACAGGTCTGTATCAAAAGTGGACACTTACCTGCATTTCATGGCACACGCTTCTAACTATGGCTACTGGGACTGTTAACATGTAAGGATTAGGACTTCCAGACCAATGGAAAATTATCTCAAAACTACAAATAATAACGATGTGACTCTTGCCAGTACCTCATTACTCCATTTACTTTGCAGAGAGATGATTAAGACACAGTTCATTCGTCAATTCCAAACTGCGCTAAGGTTCTGACAATTAATTAATAACAGTATTTTAACTACTGAGAAAGGAAGTCACTTTCCCTCTTCATAATCCTATTTGTCTTCCCTTTCCCCTCACAGGTCTAATTCTGAAGTTACCTTTCTGGGATCAGCCCTCTGATGAGAACTGCTATGATGATTCTCTTTATTGGAAGGTAATGTACACAATTCAAAGGGAGAATATAAATGATGGTTCTGTCACAGTTCAGATGGCCAAGGACCCTTTTGCTCTTCCAGATCAAAATTATGAATAAGCCTGGAGGAGTTCTTCAAATGCTGGTCTCTAGGGACTTCACTTCTCTCTGATTGATAGCATCTGCAGGGACAGTCACTAGGCAGAAACAATGGCAAATGGTGCCTCTAGCATCATAGTCCTTATGTAGGGAAGGAGTCTCAGAACATTTACTGGGATTAATCATTACGTGGGCCATTGACCAACTCCAGTGCACTGTTCTCATCCTGGCCTCGGAAACCCTTGGCTTAGATGATTTGATCATGTTCTTTAAACTCTTGTAATGACCATAGCTTTTAGGTCCCTTCTCTGACTCCTCATAGCCTTCTCTTCTTTAGTCTGAGCTCTGTTTACTGGTCCTCCTGCCCTCTCTCCCTCCTTCCCTCCCTCCCTCCCTCCCTCCCTCCCTCCCTCCCTCCTGCTGGCCACCTTTTTCTACATTGGCTGATTCTGAACTACCCAACTGCTTCTTCAACTGAGACATTTTTTTCAGCAATTTGTCTGCCACCAGGATGAGTACCGTAAGTGCCATTCTCTGTCATCTTGTTTCTGGTACCTGTTAGGGTCATTTGAGAATCAAAGTTGTTTGGGGAAGCAGACAAACTAGGGCTCTTGGAAGCTGGGTGCTCAGAATCGGTCACTGAATAGAATCCAGACATCTCTAGTGGTTGACATCAGTCTAGAGGCTGGTACTGCCAATCACACTCTTCTAGCAGGTTCACTTCTGGATCTGCCGATGGATCCATTGCCGCATCTCCAGTCTTCCAGCAGCTGGCTACCTTGCTGCTTCCACAGCTTGGACTGCCAACTGTTTAATTTTTGATGCCATGCCAGCTGTGATGGTTCATATCTTTGAACCCCGCACTCAGAAGTCAAGGCAAGCAAATCTCTTGTGAGATCAAGGCCAGCCTAGTCTACATAGTGAGTTCCAGGACAGCCAGAGCTGTGGAGAGAGAGAGAGAGAGAGAGAGAGAGAGAGAGAGAGAGAGAGAGAGAGAGAGAGAGCTTGTTCAAAACAAGTGGGGGGAAAGGAAAGAAAAGAAAAAATTCTCGATGCCAGTTGCCATTGCTACTCTACTGCCTCTGCTGCTTTGCTGTTGGTGTCCCTCTGCAGCTGCTTTCATATTAGTTCAGCTCACACTATGGAAAGAAGGAAACATCACTCAAGAGAAACTGTTTATTGGTCTGATACACATCAGTAGAGGCAATGCAGCAGAGTCTCTCACCTGGGTCACTGGGTGAGGCTGAGCATACATTGTCTAAGAAGGGGTAATTGGAGCAATTACAGCCACAGCCACATTTCTATTCAATCTTAGCCTTGCCTCCTAGCAATTATCACACTCATTGAGGGTTGAGTTTTGGACAAATCATAGCCTTAGCTTTTAGCCACCATCACACAATTCCTTCTGCTGCAGGGAGGAAGTGCTTCCCCTCCAACCAGCATGGAAACAGGCATAGAATCAAGAATTGATTGTACCTTTTGGTAGCAAAATATCTGGTGCAGACTGGTTATAATTACCTTGGCTGAGGCCACACAACAACCTTTCTGTAGTTTTCTTCAAGGCATCTATGGAATGCATGAGAGAGCTGAGGCTACAACTGAGAGTAGTAGGTGGTGGTGGTGCGAGCCTTTAATCCCAGCACTCGGGAGGCAGAAGCAGGAGGATCTCTTTGAGTTGGAGACCAGCCTAGTTCCAGGACAGCCTCCAATACCACAGAGAAACCCTGTCTTGAAAAACCAAAAAGAAAAAAAAATAGAATTGAGAGTAGACCAGTTGTCTGTTAGATTGATAGTCTTTTTGATGAAGGTAGCTAGCCAATTAAGACAGAACCTAAAAGCTGCCAATTAAGACTCAAATTCATTAAACCCAGTTTGTTTGCTTACTTACAGGAAAATAAATGCCAGGAATTCTTATAACCTTAAAGAACGTAGAATTAACAGGAATTTTGCAGATTTTTTTACAATGCATAACAGCACTTAGCTCCTACCCAGTGCCTAGGAAGAGGTGAGTGCCACTCACCTGTCTCAACTCCACTGAGGACAGCTTTGTTTAAGACTCAACGTGTGTGTAGCATATGTTTGAGAAAACTTCATGGACTTCCTAGTCACATATAGAAATAAGGCAGTGTGTCTAACCAGGACAAATTAAAAAGTTAAGGGCTGGAGAGATGATCTAGGTAAGAGAGTTTACTGCGTTTGCAGAAGACCTGAATTCAGTTTCCAGTACCCACATCAGCTGGCTCACAGCTACCTCCCATTCCCAGGCATTCTCCTGTTCTGACCTTTATAGGTGCCTGCATGTATATGGTGCAGCTAAAACCATGTGGGCACACACATACGCAGATAGTAAATAAATGAAAAATAATACTTATCAAAAGGTAAGATGCTTTCCAAAGTAGAAACTAAACAAACAGAATTTAACCAGCAAATACCATCTTTGGTCTTTTATATCAAATTTTAAAAGATGTCTATAGAAAATACTGGTCAATAGTATGAGGTGTTTTACTCAACATGCAAGTAGGAAAAAGCAAATGTAATATTTATGGTTGAAGGCTTTGAGAGAGCACACATCCTGTACTAACAAGCTCAGGCTTCTCTCCAGCCTTTGACTCCACTGTTGCTTCCTCCTAACCCATTTCCTGATCTCCCGCAGTGGGACAGGTGCTTCAACAGACTGTTAGGGAAACTGGGTTCGGGAAATAGAAAATACGCAGCCAAAGTTGGTAGCCAATGCTTTTATGTTTTTCTCCAATGCAAGTAATTTTATTCTCAGTTTTTCTATGTTTAGATAATAATTACAGATAACACCTTTGCTTCAGCACTAATTTTAGATGGGCCCAGTGAAAGAACCATTAAGTGTCACACTGTCACTTTTGCTTCTCAAGGTTCCCAAGGTCAGAGAACTTGATCCTCGATTCTTTCAACATGTGAATCACAATCACCTGGAACGTGAAGTCTGAATGCCGTTCCTAAACTCTGCATCCTCTGCATTACCAACAAGAGTCAAGCTGAAACAAACAAAAATGTAGTATCTAGAGACACAGGAACAACAATAGACAATATCCTGGGCACCCAAATGGCCAGTGTAAAAATGTGTTTATATCTGGTATTATTCCTTGATGTTCAAATGATTTCTCCATTGACAAGCAATTGCCCATAAAACAAATTGTCAGTTTGGTTCTCTCCCAGATTCTAAGAATGACTTTCCAAATGGCTAGGTGCACAGTAAATATTTTATTGTATTCTTGATATTTTGTAAAAGAGATAGATTTACATAGAAACCAACACTCCTCAATCATGTCAGGTTTCATCCGCTTTTTAGGTTAGCATCCAAAGTAAGAGTTTTCACCCTGGCATCTTTGTGCATGTGTGTCACTATTTTGTTCCTGTTCATTCCCCTCTCTGCTGCACCCCCTTGTGATTCCGCACCTCCTCCACTTGGGTCCTTTTCTTCCCCCAGTTAGATATGGCATGTTTTATTACGTGTATTCCATCACCATCCCTTTAGCTTCAGAATGTACAGACCACATCTTCAGTTCCAAAAAGTATAAAGCTAAAGTCAATAAAATGACATACTAAAGAATCTGTAGTAGAAAAATGAAAGAAATCCTTGTAAATGAGAAGCAATATTGATGTTCTAGTTAGCACCTTTTTAAATCTTAAAAATAGTAATTTACACTATTGCTTACACATTCTTATTCTTAATTCCTTTTTTATTGTTTTTAATAAGAGCTTAAAAGCTATCTGTATAAAATTTCAAATAATTAAATACTATTATTAAATAAGGTATTTGTCACTAACTCACTTTTATATGATGATTGAAATCTATTTTTGAAATGAGAATATATGTACACACCTCATACTTAATGCATACTTAATTCAAATATATTACTTTATAGTCACTATAAAAATCAAGTGACCTTTGTATAGTATAATTTTTAAAGCATTGCATTTAGAAATGGTGGCTAACACAGTCACATTAAACTATTTTTATAAAAATCAAGTTACATTTTTCCATAGTTGGATCTTTTGACATTTTTCTTCTATCCCCCAGTCCTGAAATTTTAACAGGAAGCACCTAGGTGCCACCTGCCACAGTCAATGATTAGAACTTCAAAACTACAGGTAAAGGCGAATTGCTCAATATCTTATCTCAGCTAAAACTTTCTAGTGGTAAATACATTGTGTGTCACACAGGCGACTTCTTGCACCAGGCTCTCTTTCAAACAGACTTTTGAAATGTGTCATGTGAGCAAAAGCTACTGTCCCCTCCTTTGATGACCTTCACAAAGAAACATCTTTATTACAGTGGTAACAAATTCAAGGCTCCTTCAGCCTCTATGAATCATAAAGAAAACCATGGAGGGTATGGAGACACTAAATTATAACAGAGTTGATCTGACTTCTCTGGAAGTGTGTTGGGATAACATCCATGTCTGGCTTGTGAACTCTCTTGCCTACCTTTCCTCAATACAGGTCTTAGAACACTAAGATTTTGTTTGTTTAAACTCTGAGTTAGCATTCTCTTACTCACAGTAGTACATTGCCTTTCTTTTGATGGACAGAATATTTTTACTGGAAACAAATAGCAAAGTGTAATCTTTAGCAAATTTGTTAAAAGTTACTATAGTGAATCCCTTCCATAACTGTTTCACTGGTATTTGTTTAGTTTTTCCTTTGTCACTATAAAGTTTGCAGGCTTAAAAAAAAAAAAAAAGCTGTTGATACTATAAAAGACACAATACAAGCTAAGTTCCATCATTTTCTGAGACTTTGATGGAATTGCTCAGAGTGATACATAGAAACCAATGTTTGTTTTCTCACAGGGGTTGGGAGGACCATCACCATATTGATAAATGCAATCAAAGTTGTGTTCCATGTCTTTTAAATCTATTTTCTCTTAAAGGTAGCAAATTATTGTAATATGAATATTTAATGTTTCCTAATCAAATAAATTCAATTTTGCTGTTTGGTAAACCTGCTCTGAGTTTATCTTAACATTCACATAGGAAGTCTACTCTCCTAGTCTTCATCATATTTATATCTTCATCATATTTATTCAGTTCATCTACCCCAATTACTTGCATTTTTGTAGATTCAACAAAATTGTATGAACAGGTAGTCTGGGTATGCATATGTGTGTATGCAATAAACTGAAAACTGAATTACTCCAATAATATTTATTTGCAGGAGTGGTTTTAAATGAAAGTTTGAAATCTAAACCCTGTTTTTTTTTAATACTTAAATAACATCACTTTCATATCAACTCCAAAACAAAACTCAATACATCAAATCTACTGTGCCAGCTCATGGGTTTGAATAAAATTTCAAGATCTATTTATTCTTCATTCTTAACTAAATCTGAAGGGCTGCCCCAGTATTATTAGATGCAATTTCAGGCAGGTTTGTGAAATTTAAGATATCTTCAGAGCCCTCCAAAGGCTTGTTTCCATAGCCTTTAAGCTGGGTTTTGCATAAGAAGAGGACGACCTGCTGGTTGGACTGGGGTTTGAGGCTTTCTCAAAAGTCCTGCTTTGTTCCAAACTAGTTTTATTCAGAATAAACATTAGCCTGTGTTAATTCTCTTCTGGGGAGAAGGGGCGTAGGGGGTAGGCAGGGGGCTGGTTTCCTTTAGGCAGAGCTTATTTATGTTACTGTTATAGGGAGGTCAAGTTCACACTACTGAGTGAATGGCAGATAGGGAGGCAACCAGGGATACATGCTTGCAATCCCAGCACTCAGGGAGATCATGAGTTCCGAGCCAGCCTGAGCTACAAAGCAAACCCCTCACTCAAACAACTACAACTACAAAACAATGCAAGGGACAAAAGAACTATCTTAATAAGTCAGACATCTGGCCAGTCCCAGTGTACTGTCCTAGGGTACAATTCTTCTGGATTACAAACTGAAGAAAAAGATGTTCTTCGATAGAAAAAGCCTGTATACTTCCTATCACCCAGCAAGTTGGAATGAATGTTCCTGTCTAGCCTTTCCCAGGCTCACAAATGGTCAAAATTCTCACCTCCACCTCTTGGACTAAACTGAGGAACTTTATCTCACTCCCATGATGGATTCCAAGAACGGCTATCATTCGTTTAATATACAAAGCAGGTGTGCACATGTGCCACTGGGCACTTAGGGAGGACTAGGGGAAAGGCGATTTTGTGGAATCTTTCCCTCCACCTTGACTGAAATCGGTGACTGAACTGAGGTTGCCAGGCTTGTACAACAGATGACAGTATTCACTAAGCTGTTTCACCTTCCCCAGTTTTCAAATTTTTCGGTCTTTCAACATCTAACAGTTTCTTCTGTATTTATCTGATTTTCATGATCTTGAAACTTTTGAAAACCACAACGCATTTACCTTTGTCTCCAGTTTGGATATTTCTGGTGTTTCCTCAGAAAACTGCATTCAGGCTGTGCTACTTGAAGGCCAACATTGCAAAAGTGGAGCTCTGCCTTGAATTCCTGGATGGAAGATGCTTTGAATTTGTGCCATCCTCAATGGCTGTTCTTTGATCACTAATGAAGTTGATTTTTTTTACTCTATACCTTAGCTCTTTGTGTTTGGGGAAGGCTGGGCAGATAGCACAGTCAGTAAAGTACTTGTTGCACAAGCACAAACATGTGAGATCTACACACTCTCTAAGCCAGGTGTGGCGACGTACTTTGTTATCTCAGGGCTGAGAGACAGAGGCCTTGTTTATGTGTTAATGTATACCTATATAGACTATGGTCTCTTTCTTTTGTTTGTTTGTTTGTACATTTTTCAAGGCAGGGTTTCTCTTTGTAATAGCCCTGGCTGGCTTGGAACTCACTTAATAGACCAGGCTGTCCTCAAACTCACAGAGATCTTTCTAACTCTGCCTCCCTAGTACTGAGACTAAAGGCATGTACCACCATTCCCAGCTCTTAATCTGTTCTTGAGAAAACATAATAAAATTATTGTCAGCTTCAAATTATCCCCATGATGATTTCTACATCTTTCTCCCATGTACTTGGCTCATGTTTTGGCCATGTTAGTTCTGGAATCTGCCATTTCTTTAATAGTTTCTTCAGGTGGCATTTACCTTCTGAGATGTAAAGATATGTACTCATTGTCATTGTGGTGTTTATTCTCCCTGGTCCTCTTTGTGGTCAGAAATAGAGGAAGTAAATGATGTGTCTCTATATGCACCTGTTTACAGCTACAATTAGTTCAGACTATCTAAATGGGAGCTTGTACAACACTTGCTTTAAAAATGTGAATTTGTGCCAGTATAATTGACAAGTGAAAGGGGAAAAGTATAACAAAATTTGTGTTTACACATATTAGATTTCATTTTTAAAAAAACAGTGTGCAAAACTCTCAACTATTTTTAAATCACATAATTATACCTAGTATGTAATAGTATTTACATTAAAAACAGTGATGGATGTATACAAATATATTTATTTGTATACAAATATATTATTTGTATACAAATGTATACAAATATATTGATACATGGAAAATCAATTACAGAGTGGCAAATGCTGCATCCAGAAGGGATGGATTCCTCTAAAAAGAAGTTTGTAGAAGAGGAATTTTTTTTATTTGCTCCTGGCAAGTGTTAGTGTTGCTCGTTCTTCTGACACTGTTTCATGTATCGTATAATGCACATTAATGCAGGATAGAGATGATTCTTAAAAAGAACAGAAGACAGCTGGCTGTGGTGGTGCACTCCTTTAATCCCAGCATTGAGGCCAGCCCTGGTCTACATAATGAGTTGCAGGACAGCCAGGGATATATATAGAGAGATACTGTCTCAAACAAACAAACAAACCAAATGAAAGAAATACAAGATGAACACAGAAAACTGCACCCAGCCAAACAAGATGGCACACAAAACATAAACATATATGTATGTCTACCCCTCACACACACACATATTCATACACACCCCTTTAAGGTCTGCCTTCTGTTTCAGTTCATTTTGCATGTCCCTCACCTGATGCTCATGTTTTGATTTCAAACCACCCTCTGTGATGGTTCATCTTCATTGTCAACTTGACTGGATTTGGAATCACCTGGGAGACATGCCTCTAGGCTTATCTGATACGGTACTTTCAGAGAATGTTTCTTGGTAGAAAATCTACCCAGAATATGAGCAGGACCATTCAGTGGGATAGGTTCCCAGAACACAAAGGGGGAAATGAAGAGACAAACTGATCGCCAGCATTCATCTCTCTGCTTCCAGAATGCCAGCACAATATGATAAGTTGCCTCAT